GGAAGAGGTAGGAGGCCTGAAGACAATAACTAACATTTACTCAGTGCTTGCTTATGTGCTAGGCACTTCGGTAAAGTGCTTTGCAAAAATTGTCCCATTTAATCACAATTTCAAAATTAGTAAGAAAGGTTCCTTGAAAAGCAATGTATAAGGAGCTTTGAGAGCAGAGAGGAGAAGCACTAAGCAGGGATAGGACAAAGGAAGTCACGAAAGCTTCCTGGAGAGTGTGACATTCTAGCTAACAAGTAGGAGTTATTCATACAAAGAGGGAAAGGAGGACTTGACACATAAAAGGTGCTTAATAAACACCTTAATGAGTTAATGAACAGATGGGTGGGTCAGTGAATAGCATATTAATTAAAGGTAAAGCATATGGAAAAGCCAGGAGTGGAAAAAAACAAAATTCATATTTGTGAACTGCAAATAGTCCTCTAGAGCAGAGTTCAAAGGAGTAGTGATGAAAATGAGGCCACAGAAGTACAGGGGTGGACCACAAAAGACCCTTTAAGTTTTCTGTACAGCTAGACTTTACCTCCAACCCCCTCACAGTTATCTCCTCCCCTTCACTTCCACAGAGTGAGAAATTTAGGTTGTGAGCCAAATACAAAGATTTCAAGGACCAGAGAGATCTCAGATGTATCTGGTTTGCAAGTGTCCAACAAATCTCACCTAATCACTTGACAGCTACAGGCTAAATGGCAGTAAATTTCTCAGATTAGACAACTTAGGGATCAGGTTCTGGCTATGTAATTTAAAGGAAACTGAATTTAAGGCATTCATATAAGGCAGCCCACCAAGCTTAAACAACCATCTTAAAGCAGTGCCCCACGAGACTCAAAGCAGCCTTCACGGCATGTAGATCCCATTCCAGATGGGGTAGCTGCTCACCACAAAGGCCAGCTTCCCAAGGAAGCAGAAACAGGAGAGTCAAGGTCTTCCCAAGGATTAGAAGAACTGGTTTCAGCAGTGTAGAAGGTTGGTCCTGGACTACATCAATAAGAATTAGGGTGAAAGTTAATGGGGTCTTCCACTATTAGAAAGCTACACCATCTCTAAGTATAAAAAAAACTCACTATCCTGTTTGAATGGAAAACTGTCAGGAAAATCAGGATAGAGATATGTAGGATAAATCACTAGTGGTATGTGGCAACTTCAAGGTATACCTTTGAATGACCTTGTTTCCTGACTCCAGAACTGCTGACAGTTTATTGAGCACTTTGTAAAACATTTGGCTCAACAGAATATGGCTCAAGAGCTCCCCAGTCAGAATTCAAAGCAACCAAGTTACATCTAGAAAGACAATCTTCCACCATCACTTTCTTAGACTGCCCCTAGGAAACCTAAATTTTCAAGCATCTAAGGTCCATAGAATTTCCACCCAGAAGCAGAAACTTAGTAGGTCTCAGATGGTGACTCTACCAAGAACACAGTCACGCTAGCAAAGAACTGAGTTACTGAGCTCCTTACTTTTCCTATTTTAATATAACCACTGGAGGGCCCAAAAACCTCCATGGCAAATTAATGCGTATATGCTGTGGAAGAGCCTTCAGCTAAACCAGAGATTCACCTTTTTTTTTTTTTTTTAGCAGAAACTTGGACAGTGAGCATCAGGTATTTTAAATGTCACACTCCTGTTGAGGGACCTCTCCTGAAGACACTCCCATTTGTCTTATTTGTGCAGAATCCTAGACACCAAAGGAGCAGCTAGGGTGGGATTATGAAGTTATGCTTGATAATTATGTTTTCACTGTCATGGGGCAAAGCATTCCACCCCAAAATGCCAACCAACCAGTGCTCTGCTTTCACCCCTGGAAACATAACTGGCCCTTCTCAGAGCACTGTTCTTCAGCCTGATGTCCCCACCCAAAAAGAAACTGTTTCGTGTCTCTGTGAAGCAAAGTAATGATGGGAAATTCCTCCATGCAGATCAAGAAAGAACATCAGTTACTTCCTTGGCCAGCTGACAAAAGATGGTAGTCTTCAAACTACCACACCTGGTTCAAAGTACAGATATAACTCCATCAGTTAACTACCCTATTATGCTACGGGGTAGTACTTCCAAAACAGCTTTTTGTAGCAAAAAGCAGACCATCCTTAAGGGATCATTGGTGGATTCTACGAAGAAGGCCAGCAAAGTGGGCAATGTCATCAGTAGGGAGACAGACATGTGGGATTTGGGGGCTAGAAGTAGGGAGTAGCGTACAGCACTTCAAGCATGGGGTTCAAATATGAAAGAGACCTAAAGCAGGGCTTTTTTGTGTACCCTTGCTCCCTAGCAGAACAGAGGGACAGAAGTCTCAGCCAACAAAATCCTGAATGAGTCAAGATTACTAGAGAGGATCTTAAAGGGTTTTCCAGTTGGTCATGAAGTAAACTTTCCAGAACTGGATTACCAAGCCCAAAAAGGCCAAGACAAAAAGGGGAAAACCAAGGCGAACTGGAATCCCTAAAAGCATATCAGAACTAGCATTACCAAGATGAGGCCTCAAATTCCCTAAAAGAACTATCTCCTGCAGCTAGAGCAGAAGGCATATACTAAAAGGTAACAGACACAGTGTTAAGAATGAACATTCCAAACCCATTTCCTTGTGCCCATTCCTGGTTAATGACATCGCTCATGTAACAAATTACCTAGGAATGATCCTTGAAGATTCCTTTTCCCACACCCCTTAAGTGACCAACTTCTACTAATTCTATAACCTAAATATCTCTAATATCTTTCCCCATTATTTTAGTTCAGGGCCTCATCATGTCTTGCCTGGAGTATTATAATACTCTTAGTTGATCTCTCTCTCCTTACTTTATGCCTTTACATTAAAAACTAGCTTTCTAAAATATCTGACTCTGTCCCTCCTACCCAAAGCCCTTCAAGTGGCTTCCCATTGCCCTCAGGACAAAGTTCCAGTCACTCAGCATATACACAAAAGCCTTTCATAGTCTAGTTCCTGAGTGCCTTTCCCTCTTCATACAGTTCATGTAAGTGATATGAAATTGTATGTTCCTAAATGTGCCACTCTTGGTTTATAAGGTCAGGTTTTTTCACTGACTCTCCCCTCTGCCTAGATTGACCATTCTCCTACTTGGCTAATTCCTTCAAAGCTCAAGCATTACCATCAAGAAACTTAATTTGATCCTTTCTATTAAAAATAGGCTGTCAAATCTCTTGTCTCCTTCATACCTTGCTCTCTGTTATTTTACTTAGCTGACTACTATATACATTTTTGTCTCCTCCATTAGACTGAACTATATTAGGATAAGGATAAAGTCTCATTCTTTTATGTATTCCCAGTATCTGGCATAGGCTGGCACATAGCAGACATTCGAGGTTTTACCACAGGAGAGAACTGGGAGATAAGCGGGAGGTATAAGTCCTAGTACACTGTAGAGATGTAATTTAACAGTGAATGGTGGGAGGGTCAATCTAGAATAGAATATGTTAATAACAGACTAAATCAGTCCCTGACCTATAAAACTGGCCACTTACAGGTCATCGAGGAGCGCTTTGGGTCCAAAATCGTGGCAGTACCTTTCCTGTCGGATGCACCCTGCTATGACCTACTGGGTGTGCTAGTGAAACAGGCACGCCTACCCCACACCCGCCTGGCTTTGCCAGGTCGACAGGGCCGGAGGGCACTGAAACCAGTAGGGCCACTACCAAACCTCCTGGAGCAGTCAGGGTCTGATGGTGCCTTTGCCCACTGCACTCGAGAATACTCACCAAATGGCCAAGCAGAGATAGCCTATGAAGAGATGCGACTGTTAGATGGGCAGCCCTGCCGGATCTGCCTACATATGGGTGGTCTGCGCAAGAAGGTAGCTTTCCTGTTGCTGCCACCAGGGCAGGTGAGCCTACAGCAGACTCTTCCCTGGCTCCGAAGCACCCACAGCATCTACGTCATCTACCAGGTCTTCTCCTGCTCCTGGCTGCAGCTTGGGCTGTTGCCTACAGCCCGTGAGCCTCAGCTGCTCCGATTACAGCGGTCATTGCCTGTTGCTTTCTCCTGCCTCAAGTTTTCACTGCAGCCCAAGGGTGTGGTAGGACCACAGAAGCCTCTAACCAAGGACCCGTTGCCCCATGGGGTCAACTGGGTCAGACCCAACCTCAGCATCGTGCCACCTCTGGCCCCCACATCAGAACCTGCCAATGCCCCCGAAGTTCCTGATGTGCCCCCACCTGTCCCAGCCCCAGCTACGCCACCTCCACAGGAAGGGCCAGAGGGTAGACCCACCAGATTCGCCTACAAAGGCCGAAACCCCTTCCGGAGGGGGCCCCAGATGCTGCCAGGTACTGCTAGAGAAATGAAGATGAGAGGGATGGGAGGGACAAAGTACGGGAGGCAGAGGGCATGGGGAGGATAGCCCAGGAATGTGTGGGGCACCCACAACTCTGCACAGAACCCTGGTGAGGGGGATGGAGTTAGGGAGCCAGGGGAGGCTGAGATGGAAGCATGGTCCTGGTGAAGAGGGTGGGAATAGCAGAGGACCAGAGGGAGGGACTGGGGAGGCAGAAAGACCAGGGCATGAGTTAAGCTGTGACTATCCCCAACCCTAGCAGAGAACTGGCTCTTCAGTCCCCGCAGCCCCCCACCAGGATCCCAGGGTGGGGACCCCGGGGACCCCGACCGGCACTCCATGTCCCTGCCCCTGCTGCAGGGTCTGTCCTCGGAGTTCGACAGCGACGACTGAAGCTAAGGCAAGAAACGCAGGGGGCAAGGCCCCCAAGATCTGTCATAGGGATACTGATCCCCAATAAACATTAGCTGCTGCTCCCCCAAACCATCCTAGGCCCATTTGGCTCCTTCCTACTGGGGTCCAGAGAAGGGGGAGTCTCCACTTTCTCCCTAGGCTTCAAGTCCCCTCACCCTCTAAGGACATAAAGGGTACCTTGAAACCTTGGCATCAATGTCTTCACTAGAGAGAAAATACCCCTGACACCTCCCCATCTATGTACAACCTTTTTTGGGGCCCCAGCCCCAAAGAAAAAGGCTGGAAAACAAGAATGAGCACAGAATAGAGATTTCCCTTTTATACATATTGCAACAAGTTCTCCATAAAACATTCATCTGAAATAAATTAAAAAGTCATTTTGCCACGCCTCCAAACATAGAAAGGAGCCTGTGCCCTGGCCTTAGCCCAGGCCAGCCATGGCCTTGATTGTCCATGGAAGAAAGTTAAGGATTGAGGGGCCCAAAGCCTGAGATGGGAGGGCCAGATCCCTCTTCTGTAGTATCCAACAAGAAAGGCGAGGTGACAGCATGGGCCTGGGAGATGGCAGCCAACTCCTTGAGAAACTCAGGGAAAATAACTGCACAGTAGACAGCATTCTTGACTCGCAGAGCCTCACCTTGGCGCTCAGGGGCCCCGCCCCGGGGGGGTAGAACTGGAGTTGAAGCCCCAGGGGAGCCCCCACCTAGGCCAAGTCCTGCTCCGTCTCGCCCAGGCTGAAGGACCAACTGTGCCGCCTGCCGGGCCCTGGTTGGACTGTGTGCATGACGCAGGAGTAACTCCCCCAAGGATGGCCTCCGGCTCTTCGCTGGGAATAAACAGGGGTATCATAAAGGAGCTGGGATCAGGGACCCTTCCTTGGTCTAGGAAAGGAAACTGCCCCACCCTCTAGGTTCTTGGACTTCTCCACTAGGGTTCTGAGGGAATAAAAGAAAGGACAAAATGGACCAGAAGTGAACCCATTTCCTGTCCCACCTCTGAAGAGTCATCTCTAGAGGACTAGAGTAGAGAAGGGTTCTTTCTCACTCTAACATCAAAATGCTGCCTGCCCAGCCTTTTTCCCTTTATCCAGTCTCCCCACCCAGCCAACCATCATCCTCAGACTTAACCAGTCAACACATCAGCCACTTCATTCCTAGCCAAGATTCCTTCCTTCTCCATGCCCCCTCACCCTGACAGATTTTCCTCTCCTTCCAATCACCATTCTACCATCACCAAACTATTTCTCCTCAGTCTACGACATGCCCTTATTTTATGCTCATCCTCCTGAGCTAGAGTCAACCACTTCCATCTTCCCCTGCCTATCTATAACACCTGACCCACATCCCCTGCTTCTCCAGTACCCCCAGGGGCTATATATGCAATCACAGTTCAGTGACTATTCCATCTCCATCATACTCCACTGTCCTTCCGAGATCTGCTGTCCTATACCACCACTTCACCATTCACCAGTCTCTGTCCTATACCCACCAAAACCTCCCTCCTACTGGTTGTGGGCAGACAACATGTCAGACTAAACTCAAAAGAGCCACTTAAAACACTCTCCTCTCTCTTCTGATTATTTGCCTAGATTCCTTGATCTAGACACATATCCACTATCAAAGCCTAGACTCCAGCCTCTAGATCATGACATTTCCCTTTCCCTACCTCTAATATTGGCTACAGAGATGCTTTATAAATCTTGGCATTCAGAGCCCTTCACAACCAGGCTCACATTTCTTCTCCAACCTCTTCTCAAACTTTCCACACCCCACCTTGCTTCTGCATCCACACCTATCTTCTTGGAACCCTCCAGGCACTTTCATGCTTCTGTAACTCCCTCTGCCTGAATTTTGCTCTTCCCACTTTTTTCATCCTTCCTGGCTTAACTTTACTATTCCCACCTCTCTGGGAAACCTCCTCTCATTTACCCTCCACTGACTTCCTATTTTACTGCCCTTATGTAAACATACTATAATAGTTTCTATGTCTTCTACCTCATACACTAGTCTGTGAGCTGAAGGGCTTGGACTGTGTCTTATCTATCTTTGTATTCATGGCCCCTCAACAGCGACCCCAGTGCCAGAACTGTGCAAGAAAGAAATAGTCACAGTTCCAGACCATAAAGAAATCATGCTAAGGAACTTCAGCTGGATCTACACAGTTTCGTAATAATGCTCGTGGTACTCTCTTCCCAACCCATACACTTTTCTCCTTAAGCCTCCATTTCATCTCTGCTCTCAGCATTTGGTTTTGCCTTCTGCATCAATTAGCAAATAAAGGATGACATTAAATCCCTAGGTTTCCCCACCACACTGCACAACTGCATTGGTACACTTCATTTCCTCCTTGCTCTCTCTTCACTTGCCCCAAAGGGGGATAAAAAACGAAAAAAACTTTTCCTGTCCAAAGTTAACCCTATTCTGATATTCTAGATCCCATTACTTCCACCACCTTCAGGACCTTGCTCCCTCTGTTATTACATTCTTCTAGTCACTCTCCAGATTTTTCTGAGTAAAAGAATAAGACCACCCACTCCTTTGCCTACCTAAACCCTAACCATCTCTCAATGCCCATGTCAAATGTCACACCCTTTACTAAGCTGTAACAATATTGCAACCTAGGGACTACTCTGTCCCCTTGCTTGTCACCAAATCCTAGAGCAATTTTTGCTGGTACTGCTGATTTAGCTCTTAATAGGTAGAACTATGTTCTACCTTCTGACTAGAAGCCTGAGGATGAATATCAAGACCCAAGACTCAATCTTCCTCAGTTCTCTAGTTCCTGGCACAAGGTTTCACCCTTAATAAGAGCTCAATAAACCTGGGCTAATAGGCTATCTAGGAAGGGTAGGAGTGGGGGATGAGATAGGCCTCACCTAGGGGATCGCTGCGGCGGGGAGCAGGTCCTGCTGCAGAGCCCTCGGCCCAGTCCAACTTGCCACGGGCAATGAGGTACTTCTTGGCTTTGGATAGCAGTGCTGGGAAGTCCTCCTGGGAGGCCGCAAAGCTCTCAATTTTATTCTTCACAGAACCCAGCACCTATGAAGCACAACTTCATGACATTTCTGAGTGGCTCTAGACTGACACAGTCCTTTCTAGTCCCACTGGGCCTGTTCCCAGCCCACCCAGGGTCACTCCAGCTGAGGGCCTGGCCCACCATGGAGCCTGGACGCACCCATGCATGCATGCATCGCACACCTGCAGCAGGGACTTGACACTGGGCTGGAAGACCATGTTGGTGTTGAGCAGGAAAGAGCGGAGCAGGGGCTGGGGGTGACAGGCCAGCTGGGCCACCAGCCCCGTCAGCAGGAAGTTGACATAGACGGAGTTCTGCAGCATGTTCTCGAGTTTGGCAAAGAGCACGGCCATGAAGGGGCCTGGGGGGAGGGGGTGGGCACAAGGATATAAGGCCTGAACACAATGCACACTGCACACATTCCTCCCCAAAAGAGACCCCCACTGGATGAAAATTATTTGTATGTCAGTCTCTGGGTATGTTTAAATATCCCATGACCACTTATTTTAGAAGAAATAAGAAGGCAGACACCACATGGACCCACCAGAGTCCATATGCCAGCTTTCCACACATTCTAGCTGAAGAACCAGACCTCAAGCTCTGGGGTCAGAGATCTGGTTTCAGATTTCAGCCTTATCCTTTACTAGTTACATTATTGGAAAATCAAAACTCTCCAAGCTTTAGTTTCCTATGTGGTAAAATAAGAAAATATACCTACCTCACAAGGTGATTAAGAAGATCTAAGAAATATCAGTATAAAGAATTCAGTCTGAGATCCAGAAAATTTGAAGTGTTCAATTATAAATAACTATAAGCTACATAATATTTCTCAGTTTTTTAAAAAGCTTCAGACTGGCCAGTTAGCTCACTTAGAGTGTGGTGCTGATAACACCAAGGTCAAGGGTTCAGATCCCCATACTGGCCAGCCACCAATAAAAAATAAAAATGAAATTCAAGAGGCATGACAGAAGAATGAATAGGCAGAGGATAACACTAAACCTGTATGAAAGCAAGAAGAAACTGTAGCAAGACAAAGAAAGTAACTATGTGGGCCAATTTAAAGTTAGGGGAGAAATCTTTGGGGAACCAGAAAAGACATTAGCTGTCTTTCAGGAGCTAGGAACCAAGAAGGTGCAATAAAATCTGTAGCAAAAGAATACCTTAGTTCAGGGGCAGAGAAAACTGATTCAGGACTGAGTCTTTTGTGGGAAGGAAAATAACAGAATAGATTAGTATTATCTACTGGGAGAACTGGCCTCAACTAAGCCACATTACCAGCACTAGGACTCTAGAACCAATAGTCTTGATCAGGGATCCTGGAGGGAAAGGGAGTGTATCTAAGAACTGTACAATGAATTGAGACAGGAAAACAATAAATGGCAGGAGGCAGTGAATCCTGAACATCATCTTCTCCAGGTGTACATGACTAGCCTTAGCTCTAACTCTAGCTTAACAGGGTCCTAAGATACCCCATAACTTTATCATCCTGTTCCTCTCATTTCCTGGGAGTCTCTTGCAAAGACAATTCAAAAATCTCAGATGAGTTTACAAATTAAAAAAAGAACAAAACCTTCAATACCTCAAGACTGCAGTAAAACCTGCACACCACCTCCTAGTGGTACTGAGTAGCAGGAAGAAGCAAAGCAGAGGCTAAATAAATGGAAAGATATATTTTCTGTAATCTGCAAGAAGAATGAGTCAGGACATGATCAAGGCATGACAATTGGACTACACACAACTGGAAGATGGGTGGTTGCCTTGGCCAACTTAAATCTGCTATGTACCCAGAGATGATACCCCCAAAGAAGAGCTCCCACTTAGTTTTCACAATGTGCCAGCATTATAGTAAGTGATTCACATGCATCAATGGCAGAGATGGGATGCTAACTTAAGGTATACCTAATCCAAGGCCTATAGTGGTCTTAGCCTAGCCACTACACTGCTTACCAGAGGTTTTTTGGTTTTTTGCTTTTTTCTTTTTTTTCCCAGCATGGGGTATGAAGTGAGGATTACAGCTGGAGGAAGGCTAGGCTGGCTCTCATACTAAAACAAAGAGGAGTTAGCTCAACCACTCAGATGGGGTCTAGCTCTAGAGGCATCCTAAAGAGCCCAAAATAACAGCTGGAGAACTCAGGCCACACTTTGTCATTTGCCCTCAAAGAGGTATTTCACTCTACCTGCTTCAGTCCTTACTACTAACCGCAAATCCCCAAGACAGTGTTACCAGGCAGTTACGGCAAGCAAGAAGGTGTAAGTACAGTAGACAGGAGAAACTTGAAATTGGGTACTTCTTTGAAGAAGTAAGAAAGAAGGAGCTGAGTAGGGGAAAAACCACCAGAAGAGCTGATCCTGGGCCACAAGAGAGCTGACAGGAGACCCAACACAAAGAAAGATAAGCTGGTGGAAATGGCATGGAACAGAGGGTTTATAGGTGCCTCTCCAATAGGACAGCACATATGTCTTCCATATGGTTCAGAAATATTGTTGAGATTCATCAGGAAACACCAAACACAGAATATCCTAACTGCAAATCCCAGGAAATGGCCAGACTAGCAGAAGAGGAGGAACATGCACATAGGACAGACATACAAGGCTCAGACATAAGTCAATACTCAAACCAGCACAAGCATGGAAGATGTATAGACAGACATAGGGACACAAGTATCAAATGATATGTATCTGGAAAGAACCCAAGCAGCATGGATGAGGGGCTAGGCAAGTACACAGAAACAACACGGCCAAGAAGTTTCAGAAAGTAGCACAAACAGATCGAGAACATGCAAAGAGTACAAAAAGGAGAAGGCCTAGGCTAAGTAGCTTACCAGTGAAGGGTTGGCTTGGCAGCTGGTTAAGAGTCCGCAAAGGGCTGCTGAGGAAGGGGCCAGGGGGCTCAGAGGGACAGGTGAAGCTCTCGTAGGCCTCCTCCTCCTCAAGAGGTAGTGGAGGCTCTATGGAGGGTTCTGAACCAGCTCCCCCATTGCTCAATGCCACCTCCAGCTCCCGGAGCTCCTGCCCAAAGCCCTCTAGTCCTGCCATGCCCTCAGAGGTACCCTCTAACAGTTTCCCAGCCCCCTCCTGTGGCACAAGACGAACCTTCTTGGCCCCCTCAGGCCATGGTCCTGGCACCCCATTAAGCTGGGGAGGGGACAGGTGGCCAAGGCCCTCCCCTGCACCCCCAGCCAGTCCCCTACTCCCCAGCTCTTCCTCCTCCCCTTCCCCCACGTTGTCCCTGTCCTCCTCAGGCAGTAGGCTGCGTTTCTTAGTCCGGGAGCCAACAGGACTGGGCTCAGGAGGAGGCCGCTCGCCATCATAGGGGGCAGACCAGGTACGGCAGGCTCGGACACAGCAGTCCACACCACGGCGTGCCTCACGCAGATACTCCAGGTAATTGTCTTCCAGTTCACCAGGCTCCTCTGCAGGACTGAGCCGTCGGCCAGGGCTGGAGGCTGGGGATGCAGCAAGCCCTGGTGAGCGAGGGGCTGGGCCTGGGGACTCAGAACCACTCAGGCTCTGCTGCCGCAAGAAAAGAGCCAGACGAGATGGTGTGGAGGGCCGGGGCACTGTCATCACAGAAGAGGAGTCAACACTTGGGCTTCCAGGGCCTGCAAAGGGGGAAAAAAAACATAAAAGAAATCAAGGAGACAGATGTTCAGGAAAGATAAAACACCTAGGGAGACTAAGAGAGAGAGGAGTAGGGAAAAATATGAACCTATTCAGGCAGCTAATTCTCTAACCTCCAGATTAACCTTTTCCTCATTCACCACCCTCTCTTACCTCCACCACCATCAAAGAAACAATGGAAACAAGAAGAGTACAGGACTAGAAAGAAGAAGAAAAGCTCTTCCCAAAAGTCCCACCCTAAATTGTTTGGTGAAGTTAAGGATTCCCCCTGCAAGACTCCTCATTAACCTCTCCAAAGACAGAATGCCACTCATGGCCACCTTCCTCCCCTCACCCTAGCTCCGCCTTCTTACTAGATTCCCCCAAAACCCAGGCCAAACCCATGATGTCCTCTCTCTTCCCTGCCTCTTTGCTAGGCCCACCTCGTGCCCACGAGGCATGCTCTGGACGAGGTGGGCTGGAGGCACGGTGCCGACAACAGCGTGGGATTAGGGAGAGAAACTTGTCAGCTGCTCGTCCATATAGGTCCAAATCACGCACAGCTGGCTTCTGGCTTAGCATCACATGGTTACAGGGGACAAGATACCTGGGAAAGACAGCAGAAAGGGGACAAAGGGTGAATCAAAAAGGAAGGACAGGGCCTGGGAGAACATCAGGCCAATGGATCTATATGACTAAGCCAGGCTCCAAAAGGATACTTATGAGCAACCCTAATACAGCCCATCACCCCAGCAATGCACAAAACCCTGAGAGTTCAAGGTCAGCCATCCCTCAGCCCTGCCCCGACAGGTACCTGAGAACCAGCTGCAGTAGGACATCCTCGCAGCTGAGGTTCAGAAGGGTCCTGAAGAGACTCAGAGAGACCATGCAGAGCTGGGGGTGGAGGAGGAGGGAGGGAGTCACCATAAGAGCTCTCTACCTTCCAAGCTGTTCACCAAATGGGAACCCCCAATCCCCAGCCACACACCCGACCAACCACTACTAAAGGAACAAATGTACACAGGGCCTGGCACATAACAGTTATTCAAGTATTAACTAGATGATGACACGATCTTTATGGGCAAGACTTTACTATTCACAGATAGAAATGAACCATGTGTCACACCCAATAGATTTCTATAGACCATACATATGCCTGTAGAAACTCCAGGAATACCTAAATGAAAACCCATGAAAAGAGATGCTAAGAAATACCGTGATTGAATGAATGACTAACAGGAGACAACAGCAACATGACAACTAAATGAATCCCTGTCAGCAGACATTGCAGCAACAACGTAACTGAATGCCTACCAACAAGAAACCAGAGAAACCGGGAAGAATCACAACTGGGAAATGGGTAGGGCTGAGAACATGTAGTCTGAGTCACTTCTCCAACACCAGTGTATGTCTCAGAAGGTTAGATAAAGAAAAGCTCAAAGGCAGCTGACAGGAAAAGGAAGAAGTAGGTGGGTCCAAAGCAGGGGAAACCTTGTCTTAGAAACGAAAAAAGGGGAGTTCATCTCTGGCTAGGCAAAGAGAACAAACACATATAAGCTCTCCCTCACTCCTCTGAAACCCCATAGCACTTTCTCTACACTTCCTTTATGGCAAGTATGTCAGACACCTTGAGCTCCCTGAAGATGACTAATGAGTTGTAGTCTAAGGTACTAGCTATACAGTCTAGATATTCATTATTTGATAAATGACTGTGGGAGAATTAAAAGCCAACCACATAGTAGGAAAGTGATGAGTGAGACAGCAGTTCACATTTTGGACATCAAGGATATTCAGCAGACTTATCCTAAATGACCACTTTAAGTAGCACTGAAAAACTTCAGACTCCTGAAAAGTAGTATGGTAGATAGAAAAGGGGCCTCCCAAAGATGTTCACATCCTAATCTCCAGAACCCATAAATATTTTACCTTACATGGCAGAAGGGACTTGCAGATGTAATTGATTATGGCATATGAGATGGAGAGATAATTCTAGATTATCTAGGTGGGCCCAATCAAATCACATGAGACTTTAAAAGCAGAGAACCTTTTCCACCTGGGGAAAAAGAAGGAAGAGAAATTTGAAGCATGAAAGCAACCCAACCCATCATTGCTGGCTATAAGGATGGAAGAAAGTGGCCACAAGCCAAGAAATCTGGTTGGTTCCGAAAGCTAGGAGTGGTCTTCAGCTGACAACCAGCAAGAATACAGAGATATTAGTCCCACAACTGCAAGGAATTTAATTCTGCCAACAACTCAAGTGAGCATTTGTTTTGTATTAAGCCACTAAGTTTGTAGTAATTTGTTGTGACAGCAATAGGAAACAAATACAGGTAGTGAGGCACACAGACTGTCTAACAGAATGATTCACTTCAAGGCACAAAAGACAGGCTACATAAGTTACAAAGTCAAGCCAACAGAATCAAGCTTGAAAGGACCAGAAGTTAAAAAGGAAAGCATCTACATGTTTAACACAGGCATCCTGAAAACCAAAAGAAATCTGGTTCTTCCAAGAACCAGGAACCAAGAATAAAAACCCCAAGAACATGAAAGGCTCCTAGGGCCAGGGGATCAAATAAGAGACTAATAGAAATAAGTACTAAGAACTAAAGACAATGAGGGAGAATCAAAGAAGTTAGGATAAGATTAAGACAAAAGGAAGGTGATCAAACCCCACACACACACAAAAATTAACCTCAAGAAGGAAACCAACTGTCTGCAAACATGAATAGGACATTCCATGAAGCCAAACATGGCCTAAATTCAGTATGAGAAATAAAACTTTATTGACATCTTCGTAAAATTAAACCTTGGACAGCTATTCCCTACGGTTTATACCAATAAATCTTAACATAAGGCATGTATCATGATTACTTTTCGGACATTTTAAAAATACACATGCCCTGGGCCTACTCCCAAAGATTGTAATTCAAGAGATCTGAGGTAGAACTTAGAATCTGTTGTTGGACTTGTCGTCTTCAAAGCTCCACAGATGATTCTGAAATATACACCTAGTTTTGAAACACTGGTCTAGTCTATGGCCATACCACCCTAAACACAACCGACCTTAGAAGCTAAGGAGGGTCAAGCCTGGTTAGTACTAGAATGGGAGAAACACTGGTCTAATCAGTCAGTCTGGAATATCTCTTATATACCCTATCTTAGCTATTCAGAAACTGTACCTATATGAAACATAGTTATCCAGGACCTGGAACTCTACTACCACGTACCTCAATTATCTAGAACAGTTTTCCAGAATATTAGCAATGACTGAAGAACTTCTATTTTAAACACAAGGAATCAGGGAACTTCAATTATTTGTAATAAAGGAAGAAAACAAAAATGATCCCAGAGCCAAAATAAATGCTATAAAATCCATAGCTAAAATAATGCTGTATTCCCCTAGAAAGTCTTCAGGTCTTTATTACTTAAAAACTATTTACTCCCATTTTATATACATTTCTATTGGTTAAAATCCAAACTTCTTACCATGTTCTACAAGGCCATGCATGACCTGAATCTTACCTACCTCTCTACTTTCATCTCAGTCCCTTCTCCCCTTGCTCACTATGCCTTCTTTCACACTGGTCTTTTATTTCCTCAGATACAGTAAGTTCTTCCCCCATTTGATGTCTTTTGCATGCTGCTTCCTCCGCCTAAACTGTTTTTCTACTTGATCTTCAATAGGCTAACTCCTTCACAACCTTTATGTCTCAGCTCAGTGTTACCTCCTCAGAAAGGTCTTCCTTGACCACCCTACTTTTTTTTTCCTCAGAGCTTACATGCAGTTTAATTATGGGAAGGATGGGGCATCAAGAGCAGCATTTTTACCAAGTTACTCTAAAAATGAAACAGGATCCAGATATGGTCCCTATACTGGCAGGTACAGTAAAATATGAGCAGCAATTTGAATTGTTTCTTGAAAATGAACACAGAGTCGGTCAGAAGGCCAGGCTGTGCCCTGCAGATCCTGCATTATGGATGCAGCTGGCGCACGGAGGCCCAGGGCTGTGGGTTTTGGCACGTGCTCCAGGGTCCTCGCTCCTCAGGGGGTGGCCCTCCCCATACCCTTCAGAGCAGTGGGCAGGTGCCAGGCATGGTGAAGAAGGGGCTCCCAGCAGCAGGCCTGAGCAGCTGCCTGCACAGTGAACACAGAACAAATGCAGCGTGCCCAGGTCCCAGTGGGTATACACTAAAAAGTCTGCCCCAGAGTGGCTTAGCCATCGATCACCCTATTATTTTCTAAGAACTCTTTTTGGTTTTTTCTTAACATTGATCTCAATTTTCAATTATTTTATTAACATGTTTGTCTATCTTCTCTATAAAGTAAGCTCCATGAAGTCAGCAACATCTACCTTGTTTATCATCACATCCCCAGCACCAGCAAACACTATGGCACACAGTGAACATGTCATAAAAATGTTTAGGAGGAAGGAATCTAAGTAGATAGGTGAGTGGGTACCCTAAATTCTAGCTCAAATGCAGCAAATCCAAAGAGGAGAGAAGGTAATTATATCAGTACAGCTGGATCATCTATCAGAGAAGACACAAAACCTAAAGTGATCTCAAGTCACTCATAGCCAGCCACAGAGCAATGAACAGCTACATAGAACCCTGGACCAATGCTACGTTACAAGCACTGCACAATGGCAAAACCAATAGTCATGACGAGTAGCCAAAGTCATATAGAAAAGATAACTCTGTTCTAGATTCATTTATTATAATAGTAGGGGAGTAGATTAAAATCTGTACCTAAAATCGTTAAAAGTTTAATGCTAGAAAGTAAATGCCACTTAAATTTTGAAGTGATTACTATAAACAAGGCCAAAGAATGGCAGGAACACCCTCTCAGAACAAAGGTCAGAAAGAGAAATGGCTTACCCAGGTAAGCCAGGAAAGAGGTAAGGGCCATACCCGGGAGTTGCTGCCAATACGGGCAACGAGGGTGTCAAGTATGGTGTGGGTGTCATGCCGGTGTAACAACAGGAATCGCAGGAAGGTACGGAGCAAGGCGGGCTCTGAGATACTCCGTAGGAAAAGTTCCAGATAGGCAGTACTGGCAATCATCTCCTCGACAGAGGTCTGGACAAAGGGAAGGGAAAGTATGGAAATTTAGGGCTTCCCTGCACATAAACTGAGTCATTTTTCCTGAGTTCTAAGGATAAACCAGGAGCAGACAGGGAAAAAGGGAGGAGCGCCCCACCCACAACCTCCCACATTGGTCCTGGCACTGAGGTTATACCCCATGGCCTAGCCCCTAATCTGCCTTGCCACTTATGACTCTCACCTTGTGCAGGGCAGGGCCCATGACAGGAACCAGAAACCCATTATGGATATAATCAACCAGCTGCTTCTGCACCAGAGGGTGAGCAACCTGTAGTGGTACAAGAGAGAAGGAGGAGGATTATGAGGAGACTGCTGTCTGGAAGCAGGTAGAAAGGTACAATAAAGGTAGGTGTATTACTTCCAAGATGGCAGAATAGCAGAACTCCAAGGAATGCATCTCCTCACACCCATCCCAAAGTGACAAAGGACCAGACCTTCTGGGAACCCCAGTCCTACCTGAATAACTGCATTGCAGAACTCTAGGGAACTCATAAAAAGTGCAAGGGCTGGCACTCCCAGCCAGTCTTCCCGTCGCAGGCAGTGCCAATCATCTCCTGGGACCTCAATCTTTCGGGGCAGTGAGGAGTAAAGGGCACTCAGTCCTGTGGCCAGCACCTAGGAGAGGTTACCAAATGCTCAGACGATATAAAAAGAGGGACAGGAGAGCTATTAATCCAGAGTTTTGATGGGAGTGGGGTAAAAGCTATTACCAAAACAGGTATTTAGCTACCCAATGTGCCAGGACCTCACCTGGGAACGCTGGCCCATAAAGAGCCTTAGTACCTGCCCTATCCATCTAAGCCCATGTTTCACCCCCACTCCAACTCCAGGGAGCTGCTTTCAAATCCAGGAGGCTAATTCCTGGAGGAGAAAGCCCTGGCACATAGCCTCTCCACATCTTCCAAACAGGAAGGGGCTGTTCAATGTTTACATGCCAAACCCTACCCGCCATGCCAAGAGGTGCTAACCGGACAGAAGTAAGAGTGATCCGCAATATAGCGGCCCACAGTGGGGCTCCCAGCTGACAGAGCCATAAGCAGAAGTAGGGCATCACGAGCCTGCTGGCCCAGGGTGCCCTCTCGATGGACGAAAGGAACAAGGCGAGAAAAGAGGAGAAGACGGGGGGCAGCTCCAGGCTCAGGAGGTGGCTGTAGGAAGAACTCGAGCAATGAAGGCTCACGGGCCACACACACACACAGCTGACTGAGAAGTAGCACCAGGCCTTCATCCAGTGCTGGGCTACTGGGCACAGGGCGGCCACAGGCATCCAGCAGGGTGAGCAGAGCCTCACGAACTGGACCATGCCGCAACAGTGGCTGGCGAGCTTCACTCACTAGCATCTCAAATAGTTTAAGTTGCTCAGCCCGCCGTTCCTCAACCCCATCCCCAAGCTCATCCCATTGCAGCTGCCATGCCAATACACGGGTCAGCAGATTCTCGTGCAGGGCAAACTCCAACAGGGGCCCAGGGCCTGTGGGGGCCGAGGGGACTGCACGATCCTCTGCCAGCAGTGTCAACATCTGGTAAGTGTGGTTGCGCACAGCACTGAGATCATCTGCACCCCCAGAAGCTGCCCTATGGCCTTGCCGCTCCAGGATTCGCACCACCTGGGGAAAAAGGACAGAAGGTAGAAAGAATCTAAGATGATAAGGTGATTAAATGGGATGGTGAGAACACAGAACATAGAAGGTTATAAGAACTCAGGTAACCAGCAGACTAGGCCCTTTGGTGTATAGACTCCTACCTGGGACCAGTGATTCTTGAAGACCATGAGGCAGGTCTCAGGGTCAGCCATGACAGGAGTCTGCAGACTGGCCCCTTGAGGTACACGGTGCCCAGGGCCCCGGGAGGCCAGTTTGCTCAGCCAGTTCATTCTCTCCATGAAGCAGATGGGGCAGGGCCAGCAGCCAGTAGACTACACTGTGAGGATTTGCCAGCTGGAGGCTTTCTCCAGTTGTGTCTCCAGTCTGCTTCATCCGGTCTGTAGGAGCCAGTAGCTGGCCATGGAGCCAGAGGTTACACCAGGCTAGAGTGGCAAGCCCAGAAGTGACTGACTAGTCCAGACTTGCAAATCTAATTCAAGAGAATGGAAGGGATAAACAGAAGCTTACCTCTCTCCATTCCCCATCAGGAAGAACTTAGAACCACCACTCCACTGAAAACTCCATACATATATATACATGAACACACAAAGTCAGCACCTGAAACTTAACACTTCTAAAACAGAACTAATGATTTCTACCTCCAAACCTGTTACTCCCCCAACTTTCTCCAACTCAGTAAATGATAACAACATTCACCTCCACACTCTGGCCAAAAACATGAGCATCGTCCTTATTTCTTCTCTCACGTACTTCCAATGCCCAGCTTATCAGCAAACCCTATCATTTCCACCCTTAAATCATGTCCCACTATTGCAATAGCTTCCAATCTAGTTTCTGTGCTTCCATTCTTGCTCCCCTGAGAGTCTATTCTCCATACAACCAGAGTGATACTTTTAAAACCTAAATTATATTACATTTCTCCTCTGCTGAATACCCTCCAGTGATTTCCTATCACAATAGTAATAATCCAAATTCCTTACCTTGGCCTATAGGAGCCTATACAATCTCATCTGTATAACTTCCTACCATTCTCCTTCTCACTCATACTTTTAGTCACACAGGCTTTCTTGAATATTTTCTGTTCCCTCAGCAAGGAATGTCTTTCTGCTCTTCACATTGCTCTCATGGCTAAGTTCTTTTCAAACACCATCTCTTCAGAGAGGCCTTACTTAACAATTCTATCTAAACAGAACATCTTCCCACCTTCATTCTCTATCTTCCTAATCCTACCTTCTTTTTAGCAATTTTCACTATCTGAATTTGTTTATTTATCTACCTTTCCCACTAAAAGATAAGCTATTTGAGGGCAAGGTCTGTCCGTCTTATTTAGTGTTATATCACTGTGCCTTGAGCAGTGCCTAGGGATTAAATAAATATTTGGTCAATGTATGAATTATGAATGCTAAGTGAGTGAATGAATGTATTAATGAATGAATGAACAAACAAAAAACCCAATCTTGATCTGACTCCAGCCTTGAGACTACTGAGGAAGAAATTTCTTTCTGCCTATCACAGGTCACTCCCTAGAAACCTAGCAAGTAGGCTCTGGGAGATGGGTGAATAGACCCTTATCTGACTACATAATCTAAGAGGTAGAATTCAGAGTCAACCAAAAGAGCAGAGCTGTTTTCATTCTAGAAAAGAACACTCCCATATACACACATATCCCCCACTCCTGTCAGATACCCTCACAAGAGAAAGGAGAAAAGTATCAAAATAGCTGTTGGCCCAGACCACAGCCCATAGTTCTTCTTCCATCACGCCACGACACCCTGATTCAGTACTGCCTTTCACAAGCATAAAACCTTCAGAGGAAAGGTGTGGTTCAGCAGCCCTTCCTCTTAGGCTCCTTTTATTTATCTTTTTTTTTTTTTTTTTTTGGCAGCTGGCCAGTATGGTATTCCAAACCCTTGACCTTCATGTTACAACACTGCACTCTAACCAACTGAAGTAACCGACCAGCCTGCCCTTCCTCTTTATACTCAACAAGGGCTGAAGGAATCCAGAGACTTGGCATCAGCCCCACATTTTGCCCCAAGGTTATATTAGCCAATATCTCCTTTCACCCAGATACTCTCAGACAATTACTAGCTCACAACTAAAGGAAGGTAGTGTTGGGACTCAGAAAATGATACTCCAGGGCCGAGCCCGTGGCGCACTCGGAAGAGTGCAGCGCTCCCGCCACGGGTTCGGATCCTATATAGGGATGACCGGTGTGCTCGCAGCGCTCACTGGCTGAGCGCGGTGTGGCCGGTCTCAAAAAGGACAAAAAAAAAGAAAAAGAAAATGATACTCCAAAGTATGGCACTTGGCATATGGAATATTCTGAACTAACGCACATTGGAAGGCCTTAGAAATAGCCTCATAATGGGCCGGCCCGTGGCTCACTCGGGAGAGTGTGGTGCTGATAACACCAAGGCCACGGGTTCGGATCCCATATAGGGATGGCCGGTTAGCTCACTGGGTGAGCGTGGTGCTGACAACACCAAGTCAAGGGTTAAGATCCCCTTACCGGTCATCTTTTGGAAGAAAAAAAAAAGAAAGAAAGAAATAGCCTCATAACCAAGGTCTCTCTGACTTTCTCCCGCCCTCCTGCCTCTTGCCCCTTATTCTTACCCAAAGCAAATCATAGAAACCAGAATTCCTCTTCCCCAGGGTACATCACAGAAACTAGAACCCTCTTCCCCAACACAAGCCATAAAACCTAGAAATGTTACTCTAACCTTCACCCACCTTTCTGTCTAGGAGTTGGCCATAAAGAAATTCTCTGACATACCCTTGTCCAACAGTAGATCACAAGACCCTCATTCGAGAGAGGTCCTGCCCCATACCTGAGAGGAAGAATGCTACAACAGAGAGTCCAAGAAGAATGTGAACAGAATTTGAACCCCTTGCTGGGTTTCCCCACTCGGTCTATTACCATTAGATCATATCCTTTTGTCCAATCACATTTCTACATGGCTACCCATGCTTCATCAAACCTAAGTATAAAAACAATTTTCCCTGAATCTTTGGGTTTTCTTTTCTGAAGGCTCCTGTGTCACATAAAATTTTGACTAAATAAATCTGTTATGCTTCTCTCTTATTAACCTGTCTTTTGTTATAGGAGTGTCAGCCATGACCCTTATGATGGGTAAGAAAAGGTACTCCATCTTTCTGCCCCTACTGTAGGACAGGTGACAATCTTGTGAAGGAACAGGCCAGTCCTAACGAGCAGACAGGGCTTACTCATTGATTAACTTAATTTACACCTATACTGCTAAAGTAATGAGCACTGTGCTAAGTTAGCACTGGAAATACAGAAATGGTTAAAAACAGTTGCAGGTGGGGGGCACTAACATAAACTCCAACAAATATTATAAATAGAGGTATTTACAAAAGTGTCATGGGGCATGAAGGAAAGTGATTAACTCTGCCTGGTGTGCTATAAGAGGGATCAGAGAGGTAATATCTGACCTAGGTCTTTACTAATTAGATAATGATTTCACAGAGAAAAGAGATAAAGGTTTCCTTCATATGAAAATAGTATGCCCCCAGTGCTAAATTTGATGGTTTAAAAAACATGGCACTATGAAAGAGCATGACAAATTTGACGAACAGTTTCAAGTTCGGTGTGGCTTAATCACAGACTATTTTAGAGAAGAGAGGCACAATATTGAGTTGAAGGATAAATATGGGTGAAGGTTATAAACATCACTGAATATCATACTAAGGAGTTTGGGTTTTACCTATTGACACCCTGGAGACAAAGGAGGTTTTTAAAAAAGGAAATGACAAGATCAGATTTGCCTTTAAAAATATGTCAGATAGCAATATAAGGTGGAGCACAGAAAGACAGATGGAAGTAGACAATTTATAGAAAGCTATTATAAAGTCCTTTAAAAAAAAAAGAAGTAATGAATGAACTAAGGTGGTAAGAACAATATTAGAAAAGATAAACCTAAGATTCATCTCTATCTTAACATATTCCATGCAATACTGAAATTATTTATACCTATAATGTCTCTACCAATAAATAGCAAGCTCCTTGACAAAAGGAACCATATCTTTTATTCTTCTTTGAAACCTCATTGCCAATATAGTGCCTGGCATTCAAAAATGCTTGTGGAACTGAATGTTGAATTAATAATAATTATAGTAGCTGTACTTATATTTATATTTATATTAAGCACTCACTGTGTGCCAGGTTCCATTCTAAGCACTACATGAAGTAGCTCATTTAAAGCTCATAAAAACCCTATATGTACTATTACCCCATTTTATACATAAGGAAATCAAAACCCAGATAGGTTAAACTGCCCAAAGTTAGCTAGCTACTAATTGACAGGACTGGAATGCAAATATAGATAATCTGCTTCCAGTTTTAAATTAATCACAAAGTAAAAGCAACAAGACCTCGCAAAGGAATGGAGGATGAGACAAGGCACTAACATGAAGTATAGGAGATTTAATAAAAGATAATGCCATTAATGAACTAGGAGCACATAACAAGGAGAATTGTGTTTTAGAAAAGAGAATGAGTACAGTTTTGGATGCGTTAAGTTTTGAAACACCTACGGGATATTCATGATTTCCAGAAAGCAAGTAGAAACAACATACTTAAGCTCAAGTGAAATCAAGACTAGAGACATAAATTCAAGAGTTACCAGCTCATAGATAATAGATGAAGCTATGGAAGTAGATGGAATTTTATTCAAGGAAATCGCAGATCATGAAAGGTGCTGGGGGTGAAATCCTAGGGAAAACCAGGATTTAGAAAAGCAGAGGAGAAGTCTTTAAAGAAGATTATGAAGGTAGCCAGAAATGGAAGGAGAAAACTAATAATGATGATCCAGAAATCAAGGAAAGTTTTAAGAAACTGGAGGATATCCATAGTGTATAGTCTATAGAAAGATCAAGTAGAATGAAGATTGAAAATGGTCCACTGGTTTTAGCAATCAAGTTTTTGACAAACTTAGGAAAGTACAGCCATTCCTTGGTATCTTTTGGTGATTGGTTCCAGGACCTCCCATGGATACCAAAATCTGCAGATATTCAAGTCCCTTTTATAAAATGGTGTAGTATTTGCATATAACCTATATAAATCCTCCAGTATATTTTAAATCATCTCTAGATGATGTATAATACCTAATACAATGCAAATAATATTAAACAATTGTTATACTGTATTCCTTAGGGAATAATGATAAGAAAAAAAAAATCTGTACATGTTTATTACAGACACGATTCTTTTTCCCAAATATTTTTCATCTGCAGTTGGTTGAATCCATGGATACAGAACTCACAGACACAAAGGGTCGAATATAGCTGGTTAAAGAATAAATAGGAGTCAAAGAAGTGGAACATGCACTTTCAGAAAATTCAGTGATATGGGGAAGTATGTAAATAGGGCAACAGCTCGAAGAAGCTGCAGGAAGAGGGGAGTCAAAAGAGTTTTTATTGTTTGTTTTTGTTTTGTTTTAGGATGGG